GAAATGTATCAAATTCAAAATCAAAATACTGTCTAGTACATCGGCAGACCTCCGGAGATCATTTTGTAGACATTCGGTATGCCACTACGAGTATGAGTGGAAGCAGTATGCGTCCTGCATCACAACAAGGGATTGACAGCTTCATCCTTTCCTTGAAGCTGATCTGGCACAGTTAAGCTACACACTCATCACGCAGCAGTCTTCTATGAACCACAGTAAGGGAGGGGGGCTAGGATCAAGCCCATGTCGCGCGCTTTTCTATACTTTTGCCTACATTTCTAAAACTGGGCATGAAAAACTCGTTTGTTCAAAATATGTACGCCTAAAAAAGCTACTTCGAAAAATAGATTTAGCCACTTAATGTCGTTCTCGGGAAGGAATTTTTAATTTATTGCGATAATGCACACCTCTCCCACTTTGATATTGGATGCATTTTCAAAGTTTCCAGGACTATGGGACTCCTGGGAGTTCCAGAAAAACTAGAGGAGGAAGGAAGCTGACAACCGGACGGGTCTAGTTCCACTTTAGATGTTGCAGGAGGGACTCACAAATGTCAGCCGAAAATGTCGCCGCGTACGCCGAAGCTTATCTCAGCATTGTGAGGGTTGGCAGAACGGTGCGAAGCATTACTGCATCGTAAAGCTCAATGCTACTTCCACTTTAGAGTCCTGATGGCTTTTGAATATGAATTGGTCTATGCAATCATTGCGAGTGGGGAAGGAGTAGTGCGGGATGGCGAAGAAGAGTGCAACTGATGTGAGACCTTGATGTTTTCTTTCGTCTCAGAGGAGTCTAGTACCAATAAGCTTCATCAGCTGGCATGAGAAGCACGGTTGAGTTGGGCGGGAGCCGAACCGGGATTGTACCAACACAGCGCGCACGTGGTAAGTGGCGCCACGTGCCACTACGCTACCTCCGCTCCACCAGTATATTACTGTTATTTTGTCATTACATTGTATTAAGTTGCTGAGTCTGATACTGTTGTTTGAAAGGAGATCAAAAAAGTTAAAACGGATGTAAAAAAATGTCCTTTCGAAGCTTGTTCCAATTTTTTTTCCGCTGCTGTTTGTTGCGTAAGAGTGTGTAAAATCTGTCAAGCTTGTTCATTCCTTCCGCTTGGAAGCCACCATTCGTCTGCGATAACACTTCTCCAGTTCCTTGAATACGCTGAAACCTAAGCGCGGAGTTGAAAACAAAACTCAAGGAAATTTTAAACTATACCCATCTTCTATACCGTCTTGCCCTCAAGCAGGATAAATTTTTGCCTCTTCCAGCTCAAGAAATCAGTTCTAGGTTTATGATGTGTGTGATCTTGTTTAAGCTCCGCCTGTTTTGAACACGTTTTGCAGTCTTTTCTCCTTGCCACGTTTTGGGGCAGCCAATTTTTCCTCAAATTGCGGGTCGTTCAGGAACCCAAGTGATTAAGTCTTAGCTTGGCTCCACTTCCCCAAAGACTCCTGTCACCTCATATGTGATGTGTTCATCGTATATTTGCTCATGTATTACAACTGGCTTTCTGTCTTCCATGGTCTCCTGCATATTCTCGGAGCAGAGTGCGGAAACTTTGCTCCAACTCCGCTTATCATACGATTTCCATGGCTTCTTCGCTCGTTTGCATGCCAAAGCTGCCGCTGACTTCTATCAGTTTCTTACCGCTAGGCCTCTAGAAACTGAGTGATGGAAAGTGAGCTTGAAAACAATCCGAAGAAGCTTTTCGAAGTGCCCTTCTCCTAGTGTTGGCATTCTTTCGCCTACTCCCATTCCAACTAGCTAACCTTGAGCAGTGCTCACATCTCCCAACTTTTGGCAGACGTGAGCACTGCGCACTTATTTGGGCACTGGGCGACTTCAAAAGATTTTTGGGCTTGCAACCTCGAGCAGAAACCCAGACCCCAAACTGATTGTGCCCATTTAGGCTTTGAGGCAGTACCAAAGTCTGCGGCGAACAAAGAGAAACAGACATATACAACTGGTTGGTTGTAGGATGGAAAGGCTCCCGATATTTCAGTAATGGGGATTCTTCAAGCGCTGCGCGCTACACAACCTATCATGCACATTTTTTGCCAAATGCTTTTTTCTAGAGGTTCTTGTTCACGTCTGACTGAATAAATTCGCCCTAAGTGTTTACAGAGTTAATCACATCAAGTCTGTTCAGATTGTCTTCAAGGTTCTCTGGCTCTTGAAACTGATGGACAGCTCTAACCATTCACTCGCGCGCCGATTGTCGTTCGAAAGCACAACGACCAGCGAATTCGAAATAGTTCCTCGTGAGCGTTCCTCGTCTGGCAGTACCGTAGGAGGTATGATTTTCTTACACGTTGCTTTTTATTGGGTGCATGTAGCAGAATGATAGCTTAAGAGTTTAAGGTAGCTACTGCAAAGAGTTATCGGAGTCTTCTTCGCCGTCACCAGCAGCAGCTTCGTTCAACGTTCCCGATTTGTTCATAGCAAATAGTTCCTCCGATCACAGCCCACCGCAATGGTATTTCCTTATGCTTTTTTAATCTGGCTTTAAAGAGTAACTCAATATATATTTTTTAGCGATGACACAGCTCCGAAACCAGCGTCTCCCAACGGAGAAGCCAGCATCCGCCCATTTACTAACACTGCATCTCAGGCTTCTGGTACTCTTCTTTCTTAGTGAGCTTTTTTGAGGCACAAGTACGCTTACATCTGTGGTGTATCATTTCGTAGGGTAAGGTAACCAGGTCCCTAACCTCAGAATTGTAGCAATATCCTTCTTGTACACGAAAATGATGCTTGGGGGTTTTCAGTGCTGGATGCCTTTTATTGTTCCGCCCACTAGTCGATGCGCGTGGAGCGCACGGGACGGTACGATATATTGCCAGAATGTTCGCTGACCTGGGCGACCATTGTGCCGTGGAGAACGCGTACGATGTCAGTGTCGAGCTGAAGAAAACTATAGGGCAGTAGCCAACGTGAGAGTGCAGAACTGAAGCTCGTGTGGCTATGGTTTGAGCGCGTATCTGGTCATGCAACTACTGCGTGCCTGTGCTATTCTCGTCGCCGACACAGTGGCTGGCAAGGACCTTGAGGACATCTGCCTTCAACATCTCTTTAGCTTCGGCTTTCCGCGCATTTTCTGAAGACGAACAACGGTATTCTCCTACTGCTGCCCACCTCGCGCATGGAAAAGATGCGCCTCGCATGTAATCGGCTGGTGTGTCTTCAGCTTTGAGCTGAAAAGAAGTTTAATGGGACAGCTTTCTAGGATCTGACATGAGCACAATGGCTAGGGAATCTGCGGGCATGCTTGAGCAGGTCTTCCATGAGCTTTTCACTATCAAACAACGAAATTCCATGGTAAGTCGTTCTGAATCTTGTTCGCGAGCGCTTCTTTGATAGTCTTACAACGACAAACACATTTCATTGAGCTCGAAAGAATGGCCCAACAATCGCATGAGTGGAGAACCGCGACAGAACAGTTAGAGAAGGAGACTAAAATACTGCACAAAACTGTGAAGGCGTGCAAGAACCGTGTAGGTACCTAGTTGAACTTATTGGATAGATTGCTGTCTCCAATAGACATTTGCTATCAGGAAGAAAAAGCTAAGAGGAAGAAGTGAAGCCACTTCGTTCAGGGAGAAAGAAGAGTTGAATTAATCAAATTGAAATAAGCCAGAAGGTGAGAAAAATTTCAGACAGCTGTTAAGCACCATTTCACTCTTTAGAGACCCTTCTCAGAAGTTGCACTAGCCTTTTCAAACTTTTGTCGCCGAGGGTCGACAGAGTGCCACCTGTGCTCGCTTGAAATTGTTTTTGTCAGCCTACAGACGAATCGAAGGAAATGATACGCAATTACCGTGAGCGCCAGGCGTTTCAGTCTAAGCGGATGTTAAAACAGTATTGAAGATAGGCCGCCGCCCCTCCTGCAAACAGGGGACGTCCTGCCAAAAAGCGCATGGCAAAATTTTCAAGAGCTACGTCCTCCCCTCCCTCTATCCCATCCTACAACTTTTCGCAGCCTACTACCCGCATTTTCCAAAATTACTCAAGACTCCAGTTTCTTTCCCAAAATCGGTTCTGGCAGGGCACATCATTGGTTGGGCATTTTAGTCGAGTCCGTACGATCCTCCCCCTTTTTTTGGGCGGAAGGGGGGTTGGTGCGACCCTCCCTCCCAACAATTAGCAAGTACAATCTCCCCTCCCCTTTTTTTTGCAACGTCCGTGAAGCGAAAAAAATCAGCTACCAAAATAAATTTCCTCAGCCCAAATACGACCCCCCTCTCCTGGCGGCCAAATACGACCCCCCCCTGTTGGGGATTCCCCAACAACGATGTGCCCTGCACCACGGAGCATAGGAAGGCGGTATATAGCACCAATGAGACGGGAAAAACCGCAAAAAGTGAAGCCAACGACCGCACGCCAGCCAAGCGCGTAATCGCAACGAAACGTGCACTTGTCTGCCCCCTCTGTTTTCTGATTGTTCTAGGCTGATTTCTTGTGTCGCAGCCCCAGCTTAGTGTCGATGTAAGTGTGCGCATTGAAGGTAACGCAGCGGAATCCAGAAACAGAAACGATACCTGGTTGTCACTACCCCCCAGCCCCGTTCCCATGCACTTTTGAGCGGAGAAACTGGTACGCTAATACACTTGCGCTCATTTGCCTGGCACATGATGAGGACCGTCCTCGGAGTTAGCATATATTTTGTCTCCAAATTGCTATTTGTTTTTTTTGTGATTAGTGGTTTTCGTGATCATTCAGGAGCAGCCCACCAAAACTCAGTCGACTTCATGGTTACACCGCACAATTGTGCTTGGCATCCTTGTAGCCGTGGTTGCAATGTACCTGAATTGCTACTCACAGGTACAGATGGCTCTTCACATAGCAACCATAGTGACACTAGAAGAACCAGTCAATTCAATGACTTTTCTTTGTCGTTTTCAGCTGCTGAAAGAACATCGCCGCTGCAAAGATCTGGAAGTACAGTTGTCCATAGTGAACGAGCTAGTAGAGAAGCTAGAAGTGGAGCATGCTGCCGAGGTGATCTCTTTATTTCTCAAGACTATTTCCCAAACCTTCCTATTTTCGCCGTTCCCTTGTAACTCTGCCTTTTGGTAAAACTCGTCTATACACACCTGTCCCACCACATTGTTTGTGCACAATGTCCACTGGAGAAGGAACCATTTGGCACTAAGTGAGCACCCGAAGAATCATAGCTTGAAGTCTTACTCGCACCTGAAAGCAGAATCTAATCCAGGTAAGAATGTTTTCGAACATGGAAAAGTCGACGGCCACTAGTAGGTCCGTGCCACAAATGTACCGGGTTCTACAATTTCAACAATGTCAAGGAAGCACATCCGCAGGAAACGACAAAGTTTGATGCCTTGACAAGAATCTATCGGGGCTGCCACGTGTCACCAAATTGCACATGAAAGGACCGGAGAGCAAACACTTTATTATCAAAACTGGGCCGAAAACTAATTCGTCCAACATAAAAGTCTTACAAGGGAACCCCAACAGGTCGACCCGGCCATTTGCAATGAGAAGTAGGTATATGGACGTATCTCGAGCCGCTGAATCCAAATCTACTCTCCGTTTTTGCGGAACGATTCTCTGAACGGAGTTACGGACCATCAAATCTTTGCTCGTTGTATAAGTTGAGAGGGATGGTTGCTCACGGCAGGTCGCCGATGGCCTAGTGGATAATGCCACTGATTCAGGAACACGATGTCGCATGTTGGAATCCTGACCCCTCCGAACATTTTTGCTATTTGTTTTGGTCAGAACATATCCATAATCGAGCGCCCAAACACTTTGTTGGCCAGTTTACTTGTATGTCTCTGATTATTTGACAGATAGAAGCGATCATGTGCTCCCATCTGTAACCTTCTTAAGACTGAATAGAACTTCGAATAAGAATGACCGTTCTAGAGCTCACATCGAGAAGAGAAGGTCCCCACTTACTACTTAGTAAGGTCCGTCCAGGTCCCATGGTCCATTGTCAATGAAAATTAGTTCCCTAGATGTTTTGATGCTGGTTTTGACGCTGACCTCGAATTCGCCTTCGCATAATTTGCAGAACATTCTCATGACGATTGCATTTAAATTGTCGGGGAATGTTCTACTTTAAGTCTAGAAATCGTGCTTGAGTCTGGGCATTCAAACGTCAAATGGGTGCCATATTCGTGTTCAGGGAGCAAAATTACCCTTGGGGACAGGTTTCTAGCCAGATATGAGGTCTTGACCTATCTTCAAAAGTCCGGTAGCAGTTGATCCGATGGTGGTCACCACTAGTTCCAGGGCCAGTCTCTTGTCGATTGCCTGTCTTTGGACGGAATTTGCTTCTAGATACCAGGAAAACTGGAGCAGTAACAAAATGAATGCGTAAGAAGGTGGCAAGACAAGGCGTTGTGCAGGCAAATGTATCTGCAGCTGAATAGGTGTGAACATCAGCTGAACTAACCCATGGATGGTTCAATTATGGAAATCAGGTCAAAATGCCAGATTTGGCTAGCAACTTGTGTATAAAGGTATTTTGACCCGCTGAACACGAATATGGCACTCGCTGAGCGTGAAAACGCCTGTATCGCGCACGACGGGCACCTGTACACCCCAATATTTTCCTGCACTACAAGGCTTCTACAAGGTGCCTAGGCGCATTCATAAATGGACGCAAAGTTTTCTTCAGGCAAGATTAGGTGAGCACTGAAGTAGTAGTGAAAGCAAAACCACATTTTGCCACGTTTGCGCAGGAAGCAAAAAAGTGAAGCCCAGCAGGGATTCGATCCCACGACCTGTTGCGTGGTAAATGCGGTGGAAAAAGCCCCATAACTCCGTTCAGAGAATCGTTCCGCAAAAACGGAGGGTAGATTTGGATTCAGCGGCTCAAGACACGTCCACATGTGTACATCTCATTGCAAACGGCCGGATCGACCTGTTGGGGTTCCCTTGTTAGTCGTGGGACCGCTTTAGGACTACTGGCCAGAGCCCACCCCTTCACGGACATCCACTTTTTTACGTGATTGATGTTAAGCTTATGAGCAATTTGCTCCTGGATGTAACTTGGACCACTGGACAGAAACCTGACGTTATTCCGAAAAAAAT